GATCAACCTGGACCCTCAGGTTTGCTTCCATCCAATTTCAAGCCTTGAATTACATATTTTTCAAGAAAGTCATTCACGAGGGTAAAATGGTCATTTGCGCATTGAAAAGTCAAACTTTGACTTTTGATCAAAATCAAGCTTCAAGAGTCATATTTCATCAAGACATGTTTGAGATATGAAGTTTGTTTCATCTGGAAATTCAAAAAATCCAAAGTTACTTTGGAAAAGATAAATTTCTAAATATTTAGAGTTTTTCTAAGTGTTTAAGAAATATGACAAGCTCAGAACTTCGATCAGATTATCACCATGATGCAAGCTGATTCTGGCAGAACTTCTTATACAATAGTTATAGATTTCAATGAGATCTAAAACATTGCAAAACAGAACTTCCCTTGGAAATGCTGGAATTTCAAGTTATAAATGTTCAGAGAAACGTCCTTGAAATTAAAGCACTCAGCAAATTCTGGACATTTTCAAGACAGAATTGGGTCAGAACTTCTGGGCCAGTTTTCATAAAGGTTCAGTCAGAGTTTTCAAGGGGCAATTCAAAGAAGGTTACGAAGCGTGCTACAAGCTTCCTGAAAAGTCTGAGAGCTCTTTCAGAACATGCTGAAGCAAAGGAATTCAAGGATCAGAAGTTGGATGTCTATTCTAAGTCACGCTGAAGCTGAACTTCTGATCCATAACTAAGCAATGATGCAGAATATCATGTTGCAGGATTTTTGGGTTGATCAATCTCATCATTATTTAATGCTCACAACTACTTTTGAGTCTTTATCCAAAGGATTTCCCCACGTGTGGCATAGAAGTACCATTTTTGTCCTTGAAAAGCAGATTTTGCACAAAGTATATGCTGGGCCCATGTTTCGCTTTTACTTCTAAGGGTACTTTTCCTTGATTCATGCTTACAAATCCAGCTTAGGCATGGCTAAAAGCTGCTAACCACCTTACTTTGTGCCTTGAACCATACTTGTTTGAACTTGCTTCAAGAATAAGTCAGCGCCTAGCATATGATGGTTGTACATTTGATTTCTCCAAGCTACTAAATCCTTGCCTATAAATTAAACTACATTTGCAACTGTGAAAGGGTCGAAAATTTGAGAAAGAAAAGCCATGAACCCCTGCTAAAATTCCAAGAGTCCAAAAAACTACAAACACAAAATACAAAACCTGTTAACTTTTGACTCCTTGTATTCAAACTCCATCTGTTCTCAAGTGTTTCTTGACTAAAACCATCCATACAATTGCTGATTCACATATTAAAAGCTATCCTAACTTCTGTGTTCATACTGCAATACACTCTCTCTCCACCTCCATCTCAAATAAGTCAGAACATTATCCCTTGGTTGTTCCAGAAGTTGAAAACTTCCAGCCTGCTGAGCACGTGAAGAAGTTGCTCAGAACATCAACAGAGTTCAGGACCAAACTCCAGTTCAGAGAGTCTTTTCCAGCTGCAAGGTAAGCTTCTGCCGACTCTCATCATATTACTTAGGCATTATCAGATTTTGCATGTTTAAAATACAATGTAGATATTCTGATTCTGATGATGCACATATTCTGAGATTTCATGCATCTGTCTGCCTAAGTAGAGAGAATTTCAGTTCAGAGCTTCATGAAGAAATTAGAACTCAGAATTAGGATTAGCAAATTCACGTTTGCTTCTGATCTATATTGTTGATATCTCTTGCTTCTGAAACATTATGAAACTTGACATAACTGTCATATGCGCATCTTCTGTTTTGTTAAGAAATGACTAAGTTGCAGATGTTCTGACTAGCATGGAGAGGGAGACGAAGTTCTGCCAGTGGCATCAGAACTTCTGAAAACTTCTTTGTTCCCAGTGGATCCAGAACTTCTGACCTTCCCTATTTCTATTAACGTTGTTTCTGTTTGTGCAGCACGTCAGAGTCAGAACTTCTGACCTCTTCTGTTTCAGCATTTGCGCTGATCCTATCTTCCTTCTCTTTGTTATTTTTTTTATAATCACTTTTATTTTTCATTAATCAAAAACACCAAAAACATTTTTCTTTTTTACATGTTTTATCTTATTTCTTAAAACAAAAGGATCAAAAATATTTTCTTAAACAAAAACTTATCTCTTTTTTTTTCTAAAATAAAACAAATCCATTTCATATTTTCTTGTACATTCTTATCCATTCAATATGGTTGTAATAGTAACTTAGGACTTAATTTTATTTGCAATCTCCATTTATAAGTTTATACACCCCATCCCCCCAATGATTGTAATAGCGTAGAATCTTTATTTTTTTGCACTTTTTATTGCTTTCATATAATGTTAGTAATTAGGGTGTGTATGGCAAGACATGAAATCAACAAATAGATCACCCAAATCAAGACTAAAATTCATCCAATCAAACACACTCGCACACTATCACCCTTGAGGTTAACTCCATTTGTTTCTTAAAAATTGGTCATGTTATGCATGTGGGGTGTCTTGGCAAAAACGGTCGAAATACAAGATCATAGTCCCTCGATGACGCTATAAATGTTGTCTTTCAAAATGATCTTAGTCCTTCAAAAAGAAATGTTAAGATACCTCACAACACTGCTAATCATGGCTATACAACGACCCACGCCCACCCCGCTTACATCCAAAGATAGGGTTGCTTACCAAATCAATGGTAAGACAACAATGTCAAAGAAAAAGAAAATGAACAAGAAAGACATTTGAGTAGGTAGATTGCTCCTAATTACTTGTTCCATTTCAAAACAAAAACATCCTTGCTATTTTCAAAAATAAACACCAACACTTTCAAAACACCTTTCAAAATCGAAAACATTTTCAAAAGATCAACACTTTGTATGCATTCTTACGAACGAGAATTATTACAAAGTTTGCCTAAACGATGGCGCCTTTTCAAAATACTTTCAAAAACTACACAAAGCATATTTTTCAAACAAAAGCAAGTGATCTAGCAAGTAACTAAGAGCCCATGGAAAACCAAGGATGAAGAGGGTGCTAATACCTTCCATTTTCATAATCTACCCTCCGAACTCAAGAAACAATTTCAAAGGTTTTTCCTGTGCTTTTTCACCTTTCCTTTTGGATAAAAGAAAAGTCGGTGGTGACTTTTGCTAACCGCAACATTTGCGAATACAAACGCAAAACAATCAAGTCAGATCTCCCGTCGTACCACGGAGATATTACAGTGAGAAAAGTTATAGATAATATAGTGTATAAAGGTTGGGTAAATAGTAAGGTTAGATTGCATCTTACAACTCTAATGTTTTAGCTTGTCGTGCTTGGGGGCTAGATCCTTGCGATCACCTTGTTTTGTATAATTTTTTGAATTAATATATTTCTTAATTTGATTAAAAAAACAAACAATTCCAATAATTTAAATTTACTATGAATTAATAACATATGAGAATGAGAGAGTAGTAAAGTAATATGAAAAAAATTTCACAATTAAAGTTATAATAGGAAAAAAATTCAAAAGCCAGTGTAATAAAACATAATTATATTTATACACAATTAAAATATTAACGTTTTTTTAATTTTCCATTTAGTGTTTATAAATATCAATTATTACCATTAAAATGTCTATTTAGTTGTAAGTTGTATAGAAGAGTTAAATTTATGTTTTTATTTTGTTATGTATTTATTAAATTTTCTAAAATTAGAAAATAAGCACATAACATAAATGTGACATAAATATATTTGTAAAATATGTGAAATGATATAAAATGATTTAAACTTGTACAATAAAATTTAGATATATTTTTAACAAATTTTTTCTCTAATGAATAAAATATATCTACAATAATTTTAAAAAGTTTCTCTCTATTATATTTTAGGTTTAAATAATAAGTATATAAAATTTCAAAAATAATAATATAAATTATTTTAGAATATATTTTTAACATTTAAATACTTATTTTTTGAGAATTTTTTATTATTCGGAGGAGTATTCTTAAAACTAAAATTTAAATATTTATTTTTAAAATATATTTTAAAATTATATATAATTTATATATTTGTTTTTTGAGATTTTTCTATTATTTGTAGGGTATTCTTAAAATATATTGTTTTTAAAATATATTCTAAAATTATATGAATAATTTAGATACTTTTTTTTTTTTGAAGTTTTTCTATTATTCATAGGAGTATTCAATTCAAATTTTTATCCATGGAGAGTTTTTTCATTAATAATTATTAAGATAATAGTGATTTTTTTACTTAAGAAATATTAATGGAGAGTATTTTCATTAATAATTAAGATAATAGTGATTTTTTTACTTAAGAAATATTAATGGAGAGTATTTTCATTAATAATTATTAAGATAATAGTGATATTTTTAATTGTGAAATTTCAAGATTTTTTTAATTGGTAAAATTTTATGAGGATGACACATCATCATTGAGATTTGAATTGATTTATGAGTCAAGAAACTAAACCTTTTTTTTTTCAGCAAATCACGGTGAAATTTCTTTAACGCATGTTTATGTGAGAAAAACTAAACATCATTTTTTTTTTCCCAGCAAATCACGGTGAACTTTCCTAAACGCGCGTATAAGTGAGATAAACGTGTTCCTAAACGAGCACTAAATGAGTGTTGCAAGAGAGAGGATACATTGTGTAGCTTTATAGACCTTAGCTTTAGGTACATGTACCAGCACCAAATACATATTCTGTGCTTTCACATCTAAATTTCTAATTACAAAATTGCCACGTTACTTTTGTTATCAAAGATCTATATAGAACACAATCAAAATCATTTTTTTCACTATTTTCTGTACAAATCTTTAGAGCATTAAAGAAAGCAAACAGATAAAAAAAAACAGTGACTAATCTATCTGTCATTGTCAAATTGTCAAAAGAAAGTAGGAATGTTTATCACATTAACATAACCATCATGCCACATATACATACATCCAACCAAATTATGAACTTTTTGACCATGAAGTTGGTGACAGTAAACAAAACTTTTCTATTATACAGGAATACTTTGATAACTTTCTCCCTTGCTGTTTACCTTCACGAGCTTTCATTCTTATCGCCTACAGTATAACGATTTTGAGTAGCACTCAAGCCTGATAAGTGAAGTTGCTTTCTCTTCTTTACAAGACGTAACGCAGCTTTTCTATCATCTTGCGCTTCCTCATAATCAGGCTGCAAAACCACAAAACAGTTAACTATGCTAAGTATCAAATTGAGCATCATAGGTGATTCATCTTAAGCTTTAGCAGAAAAGTGGACGCAGACATATTTGAGCATCAGTGTCTGAACGCTAGCATTCAAATAATGTCGATGGCAGAAAATTTGAGCAACATTAAAACCAACTAGCAAGCTTCATGAAGACTGACCTTGAGAGATAAAGCTCGGTCAAAGCTTTCAATAGCATTATCCGGTTCGCCATAATTAAGCTGTGCTCTGCCAAGTGTGACCCAAGCCTGCGAGGATCAATAACGAAATAAAAGCTTGCACTGAGAGACTTCAAAATGAACTAAAATTGCTCTAGTACTAGTTGGCATGAACATTGGTAAATGCTTAAACTATGACATATTATGCTAATTTAGACTACTTCCTACATACTATTATGCAGTAACTTTATATATTCCCTCAGGAGTAATAATTACTAATACAAATTGAAACTACTTGAAAAAATGAGTGCAAAAAGTGTACACATAAATATCATCAATAGGAAGGTAATGACAAAAAATCATGCTAATAAATTTTACAAGAGATATGCAAATATGAGTGAAGTACCTCGGCCCACGATGGCTTCAATTCAGTAGCTCCTGCCATGTAGAGACAGACAATTATCATATTCCAATTTAAAAAAAATCACAATCAATTTGAATTCTACAACAATCATCAAAAGCACTAACAAGTAAATTCTGATATTGGCACGAAACAGATATACTCCATTACCATAATTAAGTTCATCACAACTAATTATATGGTTCGTATAGAAAAGACAAGCTTCTTAAAACAACTTCAGTAAATTCAAATTACACCTCAAAAACAGCTCATTTGTTATCCTTAGTTTAGTAATTTAATTTTTTTTAACATTTCATTTGGTCTACATCAAATAAACAAGTTAAGAAAAGAAGAGTATAATAGCAGCACAGACGCACGGGTTGCAGCCTTTAAAGCAGTCCAAGGTTCTCCAATTTCTAGTAAAACTTGGGCCTTTTGTTCATGCAAAGCTGGAACATCGGGTGCCAATGTAAGAGCAGCTTCCCATTTACCCAGTGCTTCCCTATACTTCCCCTCCTGTAAGAAACATGGGAAAAACAATCTTCTAAATCTTGTAGGACATGAACATGATGCATACATATATAATTGAAAATTTTGGAAAAAGAAATTAATAATAATATACTCCCTACAGTATTAAATATAAGCCAACGTCTGTCAAAAAAATTGATGTATTTGGTCTAAAACTTGGGCCAAACCCATCAATTTGGACAAACTTTTGCTTATATTGAAGACGAAGGGAGTGTCGAATTGAAATGAAGTATGAAATTGAAACACGACAAAAGAACTCGCTTTGTTTCTTCCTTTTAGAATTAAAACTCTTTTGACAGATTCAAACAGGCCCAATTTATATTTCATTTTTTTCATTTATAATGTTGTGACTTTCACATGATAAGGTAAAGGTGTGATTTCTCACCATTCAAAAGGAGAGAGAAACACATGAGAAGTGTAGATGTGATGAGTTTGAATGGTGAAAGACCGCACTTACTCTCTCAAGTGGAAATCACGCATGAGGGTGTATCCATTTCTGACATAAGGATGTGTATATTAGGCATGAGTCATCAGAACATGTTATGTCTGTCTGACACGCGCCCGACATTCAGATAAGATGCCAAAACAGGATGCCATGAGAGTTTCATGGTAGTGGCACAAAGCTAACAGATGGGGAAAATCAACACCATTTAAAAACAAATTGCAGATATGCAAAAGACATGTTGTGGGCCACTCTTATTAATTCATGTGACTGATCATACAAACAACTATAAAAATATCAACTACGAATAGGTCAGAGAGCAGATTAAAATTTGTCAGATCCAAATCAACAGAAGTTAATCTGAAACCAAATGTTGTTGTTTGAAATATTTAAGCATTAAGAACTCCCAAATTAGATTTATGAAGATTAAACAGAAGTAACAGTAGCACTAGCAAGCCTTTAACACCAAAATATTACTCGTCTAGAAGAACTCAGACATTAAAACAAATTAACCTTGCCATGAATCTGTTTAAGCCATTCTTTCTATTTTTGAGTTTTTTTATGTGTGGCAGTACTATGGTATGATTTCTTTTATTGTGTGTGGTAGTACTATAGAAGGGGGGTGTAAACCATCGAATTCAAGTTGGGTGGTTGAAATGGAGAAGGTATGTACTTTATGTGATGCAAAGGTACCACTCAAGTTTAAGGGAAAGTTTTATCGGACTGCAATAAGACCTATGATTTTGCACCGGACAGAATGTTGGACTGTTAAGAATCAAAACACGAGAATAAAGTGTAGCAAAGATGAGGATGTTGTGGTAGATGCAGGGCCAGCCCAATCATGTCGAGGCCCAATTCTAATTTAAAAAATGGGCCTAAATATTAATAATTAAAAATGACGGACAAAAAATAAAATTTTATATATTAATCGGTTGAAGCACCAAAAGGCTCAAAGTATAGTTTATGCTATAAACATATTTCATACAACTTAAAGTATAAACTACTTTAAAAGAATCTTCCTACGAATACTTTTTGAAACAAATTCATCAACCAAGTCTTCATATTTTATTGCTTCTAAAATATCATTTTCAACTGCTATTGATGCCAATCCATTAAGTCTTTCTTGTGACATGATTGACCACAAATAAGTCTTTAACAAGTTCAATTTTGAAAAACTTCTTTCTACAGAAGCAACTGTCACGGAATAGTCAATAAAATTCTATAAGCAATAACTATATTAGGAAAACAATCCAAGTCATTCGAAAATAATAATATATCAGTAGGTCTTATGATTTCTTCAGACAACATTTTTCTTAGTAGCTTTAACTCTGCAAAAATTCATTCCCATCAATATCAAATTGCTTATTATGTTTCAATACCAGTTCAAAGATACTACAAGACTTCAATGTTGCATCATCCAATGATTGTAACTTGCAGGAAGTATACAAGAAACCAAAAATACTTTCATATTCTTGGTATTGCTCAAATCTCGCTTATTAAGAGAAACAACAGCTTGATCAACAAGATAAAAATAATAATTAACCTGAAAAGATCCTCTTCAGATAGCGGTTGAAGTATTCAAATTCTCTTCAAATTGTCTTTTTCAGTTGGGGTGATATTCAATTCAACCGCAATTTCATTAGCATTAACCAATGCCTTAAGAATAAAAACATGTTTCTCCATATCCCTCAAAATATGAAAACAACACCTTTGATTAAAAAATTATCAAGAGCTCCAGCTTGAGATTGAATTAACTCAAGTGGGAGTTGATTTCATATTTTGAGGAATACAGAGAAAGAGGTTTTTAAAAGGCATTGGTTAACGCTAGGGAAATTGCGGTTGAATAGAATATCACCCCAACACTTTCTCAAAACGCATTATTAAAAGAAAAAGACAATTTGATGAGAATTTGAATACCTCAACAATTGAGCTATATAAAAAGAATCTTTTAGGATTAATTATTTTCTTTACCTTGTTGATCAAGCTGTAATTTCTCTTAATAAAAGATTTGAGCAATACCAAAAGTACGAAAGTATGTTTGGTTTCTTGTTTACTCCTCCCAAGTGGCAATCATTGGATGATGCAATTGTTGTAGTATTTTTGAACGGGTATTGAAACGCAATCTGATATTGATGGGAATGAATTTTTTGCAGAGTTAAAGTTACTAAGAGAAATGTTGCCTGAAGAAATCATAAGACCTACTGATTTGCTTCCGAGAAAATTTTTAAAATTAAAGTTGTTAAAAACTTACTTGCAGTTTACCATGTTACAAGAAAGGCTTAATGAATTGACATTAATAACAGTTAAAAATGATATTTTGAACACTAGCAAAATTAGGAATTAGCTTAACTCACTAACAGAAACAATCAATTGAACACTAGCAAAATTAGGAATTAGCTTAATACACTAACATAAAAAGGCATCTCGAATCTCTAATGATAACAATACCAGAACTTGAAAGAATGAAAAGAAAAAAAACATATCACAGACAAAGGACGGTGGTGCGGCGTTTCATTACGGTGCAGCATTTGGTTATAGTGTGTTGTGCAGCGCTGTGTTATGTACGACGGAGGACCAGTGGTGTACGGAATTTCGTTTTTCTTTTTCCTTTTTAACGTTGCTGATAGTGAGAAGAAAAGAAAGAGGGATAATAGAAAGAGGGAGCCGTGAGAGTTGTTTTTCGTTGTTCATTTTTTTGCTTCATTTTCCTTTTTTATGTATTTATGTTTAATAATAATAATAAAATGTGGACCCCCGAGATTGTGAGGCCCAGTGCTAAAGCATTGTCTGCACACTGAATGGGGTCGGGTCTGGGTAGATGTGTGGTAAGAGTCGACAGAATAAAATTAGAAATGAAAATAATTAGAGTAGAATAAGGTTAGTCCCTATAATGAAAAAGATGGTGTAAAATAGACTTAGGTGGTTTGTGCATGTAGAGAGAAGACTGGTAAGATTCTGCAGTAAGGAGGGTATTACCAGATGGAGAGAATGCAAACAATTAGAGGAAGGAGAAGACCTAAAAAGACTATCAAATAAGTTATTAAGAAAGATCTTGAAATTAATTATTTGAATAGAAGCATAGTCTTTAATAAAACATTATGTCGAAAGTTGATTCGTGTAGCTGACTCAACTTAGTGGGATAAAGCTTAGTTGTTGTTGGTGTGTGGTAGTATTATGGTATAGAATCTAGAATTTAAAGTAAGCATTTGTGTATTAGTGAATTGGAAAATGGTGAACTTAAAGCTCTTACAATGGAGAATACATAAAATGAAAGGGATAAACCAGAGTTCGAGAACACCGATCTAGAACAATATGCTCCTACCAGAGAAAAACTCACCTAACAAACTCTCAAACAATATTTATGAATGATTCCCTACTCACCACACCCCTATCATAACATATTCTCTAACAAAATTACAAGGGAAATACTCCGTGTGGACCGGGTCACAAACTAATTCTCATTCTCTCCATTGGGTCAAACTTCTTCTAGAATATATCTAAGCTATGTTTGGGAGTTTAGAGGGGAAGGAAGAGAAGGGCTTTGAAAAATAGGAAGGATTGAGTGAAAAGAATAAAAAGATTTTGTTTAGGAGGGTTTAGGAGGGTTTTGGAGGGTTTGTGTTTCTTCATAATACCAAAAACCTCCTAATTTGGAGGAACTCAAAATTTATACTGGAGGAGGGTTATGGAAGATTTTGGAGGTCTTAATCAATTTGTTCAAATATAATTTTTATTGTTATAAAAGGGGTAGCATTGGTTCAACGGTAAATTTGTTCCATTGCAACCCTGGGTCATGGGTTCCAACCCAAAGCCCATAAAATGAGAGTCTCGTGCACTGGGTTACCCCTTTTATAATTTTTGTTGTTATAGTATTTCAAAAACTAAAAATACATTAATAATAAATATTATTTTATCATTCTAAACAAAATCTTTTTTCAAAAAATGTTCAAAATTTCTTAATATTTTTTAAAAAAATCATTTTTGAAAACTCTCTCTTCCCCTCCTCTATAAACTCCCAAACATAACCCTAGGAATCCTATCATGGTATGCCATTGAAGTTTTAGGCTCGGACCGCGTCACAAACTAATTCTCATTCTCTACCTTGGGTCAAACTTCTTCTAGAATATACCTAGGTATCCTATCTGGTATGCCATTGAATTTTAGGCTCGCAGTATAACACTCTTATATGTTGCTGAATCCACAGCGCAAGCGCAACCGTGTTGAAGCATATCAGCCGCATTAAAATGTGAATCTCCACAACATCAAGGATCATGACACGACCATGACTGTTACCACAACGACCAGTTAAAATCCTCTATGTCACTACCAACTATACTGCTATAACATTTTAAGGATCGGCAGCCATTTGACTACATATGACTCAAAGGGTGTGGTTCACCAATTGACAGTAGCATAAAATGAAAAGGAAGAGAAAAGGCTGGTTGGTGGTAACTCTAACTCATAAAAGCTGCAAGAAAATAATCTGAAATAAACCAGCCACACAAAGTTCTATATCCTATGAAACACGGACACCGGAAACACACTATCACTAATAATTTAAAAAAATTAATAAATCAAACGTAATCACAATTGTTACTATCAGTTTCAGACACCGACACTGACACACAAGCTCAGATGTATATAAACGTTTCAAGCTCAACTTTCATGTCAAAGACAAAAAGTTGCTTGTTAATTATAAATTGGGTGACCCTAAGCTGATTAAACAGACCAATTTTTTTCCTACTTCAATGTGAGAATTGAATGCAGATTTCAGTAACCCAACAACAAAAAGAAAAGCAAAACATGAAGAACAGAAGAGAAAAATACCATAGCAAGGCTGTCTCCTTGAGATTGAAATTGCAGAGCTAATTGTGTTGATTGATCGGAATTGGGAGAACGTAGTGTTGTTGTTGTATCAGAATCATGTTGGGTAGTGTGTGAATTGGGTTGGTCGTTGTCGTGTTCAAAGGGAAGGTTGGTGAAGTGTGATAACGGTTTCTTCTTCTTGGTTTTCCAAGTCACTTTCATTTCCACCGCCTCTTCCAACTTCAACCACCGCAACCTCCCTTCCTGTTATTCACTACTCGGAAGAGAAACTTTGTTCCCGGTTACCACTCGGGGTTTTGTTACTAAGGGAGTGGGGTGTATTCTATTAAAAGATTTTTTTATGATCAAAAAATTTTCACTAGTGGTATTTAATTAGGTTTTTAACTTTTAATATTAAATGTGGAAATCTTGTGATCTTAAATTAAAACTTTTTTCAAAATTATAAAAAAAGTTTAATGGTATTAAAAAAAATTAATTTTGATTTATGATATTAAGTTTTAAAGAAAAAAAAAACTAATTTTGCTATATTTATTAGGCTTAAATGCAGTTTTGACCCCCCTAGTTTAAGGTTTTTGGAGTTTCGATCCCCCTAGTTTAAAAGTCAGGTTTCTAGTCCCCAAAGTTTTCAAATTTGGGATTTTTGAAGCCCCTACATCTGGCTGCCCAAAAAGTGACATGGCAATGCCACGTTTTTTTTTTTTTTTTTTTTTTTAATTTTTTTTTTTTTTTTTTTTTTAAAAAAAAAATTTTTCCTTTCGAACCTTAATTTTACCCATGAGGAGAAGAAAAAAAAAATACGTGGCATTGTCATGTCACTTTTTGGGCAGCCAGATGGAGGGGGCTTCAAAAATCCCAAATTTGAAAACTTTGGGGACTAGAAACCTGGCTTTTAAACTAGAGGATCGAAACTCCAAAAACCTTAAACTAGGGGGGTCAAAACTGCATTTAAGTCTATTTATTATGAAGATTAGCTAATCAAGAGATCTTTGAGGAGGCACAAGATGGAGTAGACCATGTTATTGATGTGATACATAGATTCATTTGTATTTAAGGGTGTCTGGAAGTACAAAGTATCATGGAGCATCTTTTACGTGTTTTAAGTGTCGTTAGTGTTTTGATGTTTTGCCAGTTGATTATTGTTTATCATATTGGATTGCGTATTTGTAATTTGAATTCAATTTGTTCGTTGTGCTTATACGCTTTCATTATTTGTAGTTGCTTTGGCTATTAGAAACTTGTAGCAATAAGAATCATCTTCATCGTTGTAATAAACCTCTTTTAATCCTTGTTAGTATTCTATTTTTGAGTCAATGAGATTGCTCTCTTGTCACTTCCATGGGCGTAGCTTGAATCACAAGCTAAAGTTATCAAAATTGAAATATCAGTTGATTGATTCGAATCAAATACAAGATATGATATGAATCATGAGTTGTGTGAAATATGGAAAACTCTTTGGTCAAATTGATTCGAATCACAATCTCATGTAATCCAAATCAAGTACATATACTGATTCGAATCAAATGTCTTCTGAAGCCTCATTTTGCCTTTATCCAAATTAATTTGAACCATAGATTAACTTGATTCGAATCATTGCTTCAAAGACTCATTTTTCATATTTCATTTAAATAGTTTTTTCATTGATGAAAGTAACAAGTGTGTGAAACTTATGGTGTTACCCATAGAGACAATGAGTGTTTTCTTTGTCTTTTCTTTTTAGTGTGTTCCTCTTTACACCATGATCTTTTCTCTTCTTTTCTCTACAAATAACCTTTTGATTGTGAATTTGTTTAAAATTCAGTATCCTTTTTGTTGCATTTTTTATGCAATTGTGTTGATGTGTTAATTAATTTAGAGAGTGAGTTAATTAATCTTGTTGTGTTGATCATGATTAATCAATCTCGAGAATATCATTTTTACCAAGACTCATTCAACTAGAAATTTGTTAGAACCTTGTGTTGTGTTCTATTTTCACATTCATATATATCTTGATTAACATCTTGTATTGTAGAAGACGCATCGAGAAGAGTATTTCAATATGCTCCATAGAAGACTTTGGAGAGATCAAGTATCAAATGTCTGTAAGGCAGGATTGGAAGTTGCCTATTCTTGGTGGAGTTGGAGAAAGATTGCTCGCAGACAAAATTAAGAGTTGTCCATTGAATGTTTAGCCATGAAAATAGCTCTGAATAAGAAATTGGTAGGATCAAAGGGTTGATAGCTACATATAAATACTTGGAGCAGAATTATTATGCATGTGAAGAATAATTGGATCAAGGTCTTTTGAGATCTTGTTTTGTTAGCAGTTTAAAGTGTCTGCATCAACAGTGTGGTTTATTGTTTAATATTCTGTTTATAATCAAAATTCTTGTATCAAACTTATCAAAATAATAGAAGATCATGATTATTTCTCAATGGTTTTAACACCATTGAAGAGTGAAATAGGTAATGCGAGGACGACAGTCGAACCACTATATATCATTGTGTATCTTTTCTTCTTTCCTTAACTCTTATACTTTTCAAGCATTGGCTACCATATGTTTGCGTTGTTGCATGTTTGCATTGATTGTATACCACATAATATAGACTTTACTTATAATAATTTAATGTATAACCTAATTTTTTTGTGTATCAATCTTGTTGAAGTATCATGACTTAAAGTATACCTTTGTTAGAATACTATAAGCTATGTGTTTTAAAATAGCTTTGATGTGGCTACTTGTGTAGTCTTGTGATAGACTTGCTTACAAAGCAATCAAACGCATTTAGAATATCACATACCATTTCATATAGAATATTTTATTGAGATACTTCGAAGCTTTCTCACTTTGTGTTTTGCTTCTGCGCCTTTTCAAAAATATCTGATTTCGTACATGGAATCCAAAATGTTTTTTGAAATTGTCTAAAAGAGATTTGGTTTATTCAACCCCCTCTTCTAAACCTTATGATGTCCTTATTCTCACCCAACAGTATCATCGATAGATAAGAGGTGCATGAAAGTACCCTCTCTATATGGAATTAGGGATGGCAAATTGGCATACTCGTCTTGTTTATATATGCCCCGCAAAAAACATGGTGGGGCGGACATTGTTGAGGACACGAATCTAAAGTAGTGGTTAGCCCCGCAAAACACTGAGGGTGGGAGGGTCTGTGGACACTGAATCTCTAATGCCTAAATATTACAAAATTTTATATTAATGTCTACGCCGACAAAAGTCCACAAAAAACAGGTACGTGTGGAAAAATATATTTGTATTTATTCTTTGAAATACATGTGATATAAATTTTTGCACCTTATAGAAATGATGTGTTTTTTTGTAGTACAATGATGTTTTAAAATGCATCTATCATGATAGAAAGATTAAGAAGTTGCAACAGTCGGAAGAGAAGTGATTTTATAATGTCATGAAGTTATGTTGGCTGCAAGATTTATGCATGGCTGATTATACTGTTATTAAATATGTTATGCTGTCAAGATTTATGCATGGTTGATTATATTGTTATTAAATATGTTATGTTGTCGACTTTCATTGAGCGATGGCACTCAGATGTGTTATCTTTTCATCTTCTACATGGTGAGATGTTAGCAAGTGTATTGAGATTATACTTCAAATATTTAGTTAGTACGTCCATATTTATGGACAAAAAAATTTATTAAGTCAATATGGTTTACCTTAGAAACTTCATTGATTTCAAATAAATTCATGAGTGCAAATAGAGGGTTTACCTGTACTCGAAGTTAGGTGAAACTTGTCTTTGTAAGACTAGACAGATGAAAGCAAATTATATGTTGTTTACAGTAATATATTTGCACTTTTACTATTACTAATATTTCATAACCCATGTGCTACATCATTACTAATATTTCATTTATACCATTTTCAAGCATGGATTTCCCAATACTTTCCACACTTCTTAGACTGGTTATATGTGGATGACTACTCTAAGAATTTTCTATGTGCTTGCTCATGTGTTCCGCTCATAGCCAATTAGGTGATGGAGTCGTTTAGAGCGTTTCTGACTGCACTACATCAGATGATATACGTTACACATCGTATGATGATCACCGTCAAACGTGTCCCTTGAATGAGATAGCCTTCTACTTCTAATGATTGACTTGTGGGTCGCGCCTTATTTATCCATATCTTCCCAAGTAAATCATGCTAGTTCAGGTTTTTATAGGGTGTTCCAAGAGATCCCTATATGTCTTCTACTCGCAGTGTTGTTCGCAGAGATGTTGATGTAATATTTGATCATTTCTATAATTATCTAGCATCAGAGGAAGCACAAGTGTGCCAACTCTTTAGCCATTGAGTAGTGCATTTGACCAGATGATCACTGAGATCCACCTAGAACAACTCGTCAAAAAGTATTAGATGAGAAGTAAACTAGGACAAATTATATCATTGATGTATTACATGAAGGAGTGGCAAACGAGCATGACTATCCCGTTTAGACTCATATCATAAAAGTCCGCTAATAAACGAGGCGGACGGGCATAATTGAGAGTGTGAGTCTAAAATCTTGAGTGTCCCGCAAAAATGATAAGGGAGGAGTATGGCGTTCCCGTGGGCACTGCAACATTTAACCCTAAAAATACAAAAATGTGTTAATATTTGCACCAACAAAAACTTGTAAAAAAACAGGGCGGAACAGAGTGGACACATTAGAGGGTGTGAGCCCAAACCCTTAGCCAGCTCCTTACTAAGATACAGGCAAAACATATATTGTTCAATGGACCGAACTTGTTTTTCCACCACTTATTACCTACATGTCGTCGTATTATGAATATTACACGAAAGGGTATAAAGAGACGAGAGATTATGAAAGGCACTCTTGTTATAGCTACTATAGATATCATTTCATCTTAAGCACATGCATTGTAGTATAAGAGGCGAATAAGGAACAAAAGGGTCAGATATATCTATCTGAAAGTTCATTTTTACATCTATTTTAATAGTATTTGTATTATAGTTTATAATTTATCAACAATAATGTTTGATATTCTGGATTGATTTTAATATATGACATTTTAATTAAATTACATTAGTGTATGATTTAATTAGTAACAAATTTATTTTTTATAGTATATTTAGTATAAATGACCTGTAATATAATATTTCTTAAAATATATTCCCTCCGTTTCTTTTTAAATGTCGTTTTTATAGTTTAATGTTATCATTTGTCAATTATATCACTATTTTCTCAATAACTTCACTTCACATTTTCCATAAAATTAATTATTTTCTTTATTTGTTATTGGAAAAAGAGAGATGGTGTATGATTGAATTTATTTAGAAAGAGAAAATAAATAAGGGTATAATAGTAAAAATAACTTTAATAATCCACCATCTTGATTGAAGAGATTTATGTTAAAATAACACTTAAAAAGAAACGGATGGAATATGATGTTAATAAAAATCTTGTTGTCTATGAATTATTAGAAAGCATTATTTCCAAAATTGTGAAATAAAGACTTCATAATTTTAAAATATATCCAATTTAGTACAAAGTGTACATATGGTTTCGCCCTTCTATAAGTACAGAAAAACATTTTCGATCTATTTTTTAACAAAATAAAGTAAATAACTTACTTACGAATGATTGTGTAGTATTTGAGGTGTATACATAAGTGATGTATTTGAGGTGTATACAAAAGTATACTCCCGTATTATAGCAAGGACATTGTGTGGTATTTGAGGTGTATACATAAGTGATGTATTTGAGGTGTATACAAAAGTATACTCCCGTATTATAGTAAGGATATTTTTAAGTTTTAAAAGGTTAACTCTTCATTACTAAAGGTGAGAAGAACAGTTTTAAAAGGTTAACTCTTCATTACTAAAGGTGAGAAGAACAACCCTCTTTATCTCGAAAAATCTCATGCTCTATGTCTTCAGCCACCCCTCATGCTCATAATCCAATGGGTCAGAAATTATGAAAAACAAATAATTAAAAAAATGATTTCTAAAGAGGGAGAAAAAATGACAAATAGAGAGTGAGATTGTGGCAGTATGGAAGCAACACATAAAAAGCATGAGAGGATCTGCATCCATCTAGAAAAAGGAACCTCTCATCTCATTAGTTTCTAGTAAACATGGTAGATTGGTAGTTTCTAGTAAACATGGTAGATTGGTAGTGACATGAAATTTGTTTGAAAAGTCATGTGTCAGACAAAATTTGCCTATTTGTAAAATCCATAAATTATTGGGTATAAAGTGAAATATTTTATAAATTTTAGGTCATTTAAGCCACTAGTGAGTGTCAAAAGGTTAGGCCTTAAATACATAAAATGCTTCTTAGTAAGTGATCAAAGAGTCAATCTACAACTTTTCCAGAAAGACGTGCATATAGTTGATTGTGCTCAAATAAGCACGGAGTGAGTTTCAAAGCGACAAACTATTTTAGCACAAGATTAATGGCAGAATGAATTAAGATCAAACAGCTTAGCAATTTTTTGTTCGAAAGTTTCAGAACAGAGAATTCGCCCCAGATGAACCAAATTTACATTCGATTCATCTTATAACAAATTTCTTAGGTTTAGCAGTGAGAACCTTTATTTATAACAACTTCAGCTCCTGGATATAGTCTCAACCGAACAACTATTTTTTTAATAGTGACCTCCAAAAATTAAACACCTCGCTTGGCAAACTGATAAAGACCATAGATAGTACAAATGGAACAACGATCATTTTGAATATTAAGCGCAAATTAAGTTTTGATATTGATAAACTTCTCTCCTGATGAAAATGTGTTACTTAACCAAGTAAAACAAAAAATGTTTGGCTCTGCCTATATCAATCATGTCTCAAATGAAACTCAAGTTTGAAGGCTCGGAATTCTCATAAAACCTACCCACATTTAGGGCAGGCAATTTTTCTCTCTATTTAACAATCAACATACATTTTTGTACAAGTATACATAAGAATCAAGGGGGCGGGGGGAAATGACCTATGTTGTGTACAAATAGAGAAGAGAAACTAACAATGAGCTCAAAATTTTCAGAAAAATAGGTGAAAACTATGTATTACCTTAATTACCTCGTTTAAAACTGCCTTTAGTCTCTGCCACTTGCCTAAGCTTGTGGGCTTCTAAACTGAGATTGCAAAGCAAACTTCGGTATTATAGAAATAGGTTTGATATCCAACTGAAAATCCATGGTGTCATTGTCACAAAATGATTGGTCAACCATGTCTTCCGCTTCATCATACACATCAAGACTGATGTAGTCAGTTAGTTCATTTTCATGTTCTTCATTCTGTTGAGAATGGCTGGGAACCACCGTCAACCCAGGTTCAGAAACATCAGCCGGAATACAACCAAAGTAACGTCCACTATCGTTGTTCTGGTCTCCAGATCTCTTTCTTTTCTTTCCCTTGCTTTGTTTTTTGGGGTGGTGAAGCTTGCATTTGGTTCCTTGAGTACAGGTTCCTGTTGCTTCAAAACTAGGACAGACGTAGCTGTGCTTCTTCCGACACTGTGAACAAACAAAATTGTTAGGGGTAGTCTAAGATCTCAACAGGAGAAGGAGGCGGATGCGTAGGTCCAGCAGGAGGAGAGTAGAGGCCGAACAGAGCAAAACTACCCCGAAGAATGAACATTAATAAGCCCGGGAAAAATACACTAAGCAATATTAAAGACCACTGTCAACAATAACAATTGAACAACCAAGGAAGAGTTACAAGCCCAAACTGATAATTCATCCATAACTAATCAAAACACAATTTGTTGAAAGTTCAGATTGTCCTTTATAGAACCTAGCACGCTCTGTTTTTGATATACAGACCATAATAAACTTCCACACACACAAATTGATTAATTCTACTAAATGAAGAGTAAATCTAAAATTCAAATTATCCAGTAATTCAACAGGAAATTAATCAGAATCGATTACCTCATTCCCGTCAGCACAATAACCCTTAAGAAATCCTTCACAAATAGATGCATTAGGGTTCACGTTGACATGTCTATATGAACAACTTTTGTTTGAGCATAAGCCTGCCAAGAAAAAATGTCAGAATCATATTTTCATATTATTTACTTGATGGAAAACAACAATCTATGGTGCACCTTGCAAAAAGTATGAGCAATCAGGCATTCTCTCTGGAAGAACCTGCACAGCAAATCAATTAAACTCAATATTTAGTATACAGATCAGCAAATACAATGACCACATTCAATTCTTTGGACCCCATATATCACAAAACCTTATGAGTCAATTTGCAGGTTGGAGTAGAACATAAACCATTCAGGAACTTAGTACAGACAGCAATTTTTGAGGGGTCGTGAATGTAAGGGCACTTCCCTCCATCCTTGTTACATTTCCCAAATCTTGTGAAAAACTGACAGTACTTCTGCTTACGAGCCAACCGCTGTCTGGCAGTGTGCAAGCTCCATCTAACCTTTTCATTTGCCAGTTTTCGAATTCGTTTCTTTGGGTCTCTAATAAGCTGGTTTCCATTGCCAATTGTGACATATCTGCAAAGATTATTGACAATAATTCGAATGATAAACTTCATAATGATCAATAGAACTGTACCACTCATATTATATATATTATATGATCTCAACTTATTTACCTACTTTCAGCATAGCTACTTGTTAAAAAAAGACAACAAACTTTGACACTGCCGTAAAAGATATTGATAAAGAACAGTGCACTTACTCATCATTTCCAATCACTAATCTTCTTGGGATGTAACCTCTTTTAGAAACCAAACCAGAACTGGTTGAGACAGAGGACAGGGACTCATCATCTACAAAGAAAATCAAGGGAAAGGTTGTGATATTAATAGTTAATATAGTGATAAAACCTAATCAAGACAATATAAAGATAGAAAAAGACTGGAAGAAATGAATGACCATAAAGGCAATACTAATATCCCCAGCATGGCAGCAAAAGAAAGGAACTTAATGATTTTATTTAATGTTTCAGTATTACAACCTCTACAAGGTCTAAACAGAAAAAACAAGATAATGCAGACAAATTATCATGGGGTTTTGTATACAAAATCAGCTGTAAGGAAAAATGAAATTGACAACTTCCAAGAATGATAAATTGTATTTTACTCCTGCACTTTAACCGTAATCATACTCATACACACAAACTCAATCCAAAAAAATATATATATGATCATTCAACAAACAAACCCGTTATGGAGTTTTCAGAATTTGACCAGCCATAAGGTCATAAAATGCTAAGAAATGTAAAAATGTTATTCACCTGAAATCCTCTGAAGTGTCCGCCTGGAAGGATCCATTCGGTAGCGAACTGAACCAACACGAAAAATACGTTCTCCTACACAACCAACCGCTACTTATAATGTCAGAGTAACAGACAATGGTAACTAATAGCAAAAATATGTCTTTTTTTTCATAAGCATAAAGGAGTTTTAATAATAGCAAAAAAGAAAGTATAGACTTCCGCATTTTGATATGATAAAACTCATGGAAAGAATTCTTCCTACTCTTTGTCTGAGAACCAGTACGAGCTGGATTTTTCTTTTCTCTCTTCTTCCTCTCAACAGCAGCAACAGCAAGTGTGGCTTCCTAAAATGATTATAAGAAATTAAATGAATAACTGTTAATAAAAGGCAAATTATACTTGGTATAAAATATACCTACCTTTGAAAAGGAAACTTCAAGGAAAAGCATCATAGTATCAAAAGCCAAACTAACCTCATTAGCTTTCTTTGAGTGCTTCTCAATTGATTTTGACCATTTTAAACTAGACCCGCCAACGCCTAAAACTTTGGATTTCCAAAGAGAAAACCCACGGGTCGACCTGGTGTACACAGTATCCCTCTTTCTCGACAGAAGCAATTTCTTGCTGAAAGACAAATACCAATTAACAATTGCAATTGAATATCATCAAGGAATACAGCCAACTTAAAGAACAGAAAACATAGAGGAAGGAAGCAGTAACAAATGCTTAGGTACCCGGCTGCAGATAAGGAACCACTATTGAAGCTTGAAGAAGAATTATGAATGAAGCTTCTTAAATATGTTGTTCTTTTCCATGGAAACTTTTGATAATGCCACGAGTTCCTGTCATTTCTAGAAGAATTTTTGCTACCAAGTGTCCACACCAATGAGGCTCTTGAAGATTTATTTGACATCCCAGCAACTGCAAATGCAATCTACAGTTAAGTCTTTCTTTAATCACATATAATGCAAAAAGGAATTAAATGGAACAGCACCAGAGTTCAAGAATTCTCAGCTAATGTGAGCTAAAATACAATGGTTAAGAATGACATGCAACATTAGCTAAAATACAGTTAAGTCTCCAGGGTTATCAATCATCAATCATGCACAATTGTGGCAAAACGATACTGTCATAGTGCATTAGCCAAGCCTTTTAATTTTAATACTGCACTGTAATTCACATCCGTTCTCACTGCTTTTGCGATGGAAGATGTAAAGCTCCATTACCCACAGCCCCCTTTGACTTAAGCTTTTGTTATTTCTCTTACATGTATATGGAATCAAAGGAATTGGAAAAGTCTCCATTTATGACCATTATTAGCATATGTAGTAAACCTCTGTCTCATCCGCCTTTACAAGCTCGGGTCCATCAACTGCCAACAACAACTCTGGTCATTCCCGGTATTTATGGCATCACCTGTTACTGCTGTTATCAGTGGCAGATTATGGTAGCCTGCCACAAATCTGCCATATAAACATGGCTTAGCGGAATATAGCAGATATAATAGGTATTGCAGCCTATGGAGGCTGACACAAAATCTGCCATCCTATAACGCCACAGCGCTGCCATGGGGGAAATTTGACAACAATGCCTGCTATTGAACCATCCAGTTTCTTTCTAGACTACAGCTCACCTTTTGTTCACATCCATTCCAAACTAGCAAGTCTCATTATGTGTTGTCTTCACTCTCTGTTATTCTACTCAAGACCCTGCTGTTCTTTATTTAGACATGATAATCATGGATGTTTTAAATTGGGATAATTATCTATTTTAGAGCATGCACAGTCATCATAGATTATAGATACTTTTAGTCCTATAAATACATTTATATGTTTAGATCCCCCATTTTGTGATGTTGGTGAAATTTTTTAATGATATTTAGTAATTAAAATCACAAAATGGGAGACTAAACAGAATCAACAAGGTAAGTATTTTTATGGCTAAAAACATACTTCAACATAAATTCTATATCCTACTCCACAGGGTATAGAACTTTTAGGGCCAGTCACTCTACACCACAATCCAGGATGGATAACTAGAGTATCAGCATATATTAACAAATAAAGAAAATATACCAAAAAAGGAAGCAGTTAAGAAAAACATAGTAATTTGCAAAGCTTATACTTGGACATTAAACATCTAAACATGCATTTAATATGAAAAAATACATGAGCATCATACATAACCAATACAAGTGTGTCTAGCATGTAGAATCCACGGGCAATGATAGCGGCAATTTACTGAAGTTCTTAGCAAATAAACCCTAGTATTCAACATAAGTTATCTACTGGATCCTCTGTCACTGAGAAGCCTCCTAATTTTAATTAACATACTTCTCCAATCATGATCAAACTCAGCATTGCATTCATATAAGTATCGTTTGAAGAGATAAACTAAGCAACATAGAAAGTTCTTTATACCTTTATGTGACCGCCTCTTGGTAAACCTCCTGTTGCAAAGTACTCTACTAGCTCCTTGGGCGTCAGAATTCCCAATGTTATTGGGTATTGCAACTGTGTGGTTTTCAAACGTAGTTCTAACCAATTGATTTTTTCTCCTCTTGAAATAGCTATCAGAGAAGGCTGTTTGGCCTTTGTCATCAGTAGAGACAACCATATCACTAGAACTCGAAGTAGCAACCAATTGATTTGTTTTAGGCTTTACATAAACTATTCTTTTTGAGTTCAAAGAAATATTTCCATCATTTGCTTCAGCTGTACATCCCCCATTGCTAGATGGACCAGCTTGTTTTTCAAGAGCTTCATGTTGTTTTGGTACATCTCCAGAGGAAACTGGTGCATCATTACTCTCAGAAAACTTCCTAAGATCAGCTGTGTTTTCACAGCAGCCACTGGAAGGGGGTTCTAGCAACCGAAAAGATATATTTTCGTCTGATTTGTTGTCAACGGGTAGAACAATATTAGATGCTTTTGTTTTTGAGCAGATTGACGGATCTATCAAATCAGCCCTGCTTTCAGGTTTGGTGCCCTTAGGTATTTCACCTAAGCCCAAAGGTAGCAGATTTGCAGAGATGTGAGGTATAGCAGAAACTGGAGTAGGTTTCCTCATGAGACTGGTAGAGGTGATTTGAGGTATAGCAGAAGCTGGAGTAGGATTCCTAACAAGACTGTTACCTTTACGAATGTAAGAAGTATTTTGAAAGTTCTTTTTCCTTTCGAGAATTGGCTTTCTGGGAGGAACTATTCTTGCTGAAAATTTGACTCTAGGTAGAGGAGCGGGAGGATTATTATTATCAGTCCGATGCCAGGTGCGAGATTTTAAAGCATGCATTGATGAGGCAGGAGTCTTTGTTTTTGGCTTCGGAAACGAAAAAGAATAACCCTGAGACGCTTTATGGATGTCGCCATCAAGCTGAGTTTTGCTCCCATTTAATTCAGAACAAGATGAATTTAGGGCCAGGGGTGTAACTTTAGAATAAACTTGGGTTGGTTCTGGTGTTATATTCCTTGTTATTGGGTCACTACATCCAATTGTGTAATCTAACTTCATAGTTTTTTCAGTATGCTGTTTTGATGAAGTAGAAGTATCTGAGTCAGAACCATGTTTGACCATAGACTCGGTTTTTGGATTTTCTTCACCCCCGCAAATGTTTTCATCATCGATTGCTGTAAATTCAGTAATCATTATATCGGGTAATTCAGATGTCATCCCATGAGAATATATATCTGATAAAGCATTGGGCAAATCCTCAATCAAGTCATTATTTGAATTACCGGTGGTGACTCCATCCCCAGCGACAGGACAGGATATTAGGTTCTCCTGAGGAAGTGAATCACTCTTCATATTGAAATCACTAGATAACATATCAGCCCTTGGAGACCTTTGCACACCATCTCTATAATGGTAATCGTTTTCAGCATCCTGTGAATCCGTATTATCTCCCTTGATAATCCCAATAACCGAAATGTCTGTGGTTAGAGTATTAGTTATAGGCACAACTAGAGTAACATTATCTTTCTGCTCACACTCTAACACTGAAAACTGAACTTTTGGAATGGCCAAGTCCACACATTGTGTAGAGACAATATCTGAGTGCTGCAATTCCAAATGCTCAGAACTCTCTGTTTCCCCATTTGCATTCATAGACTCAAATGATCCTCCAGTGAAAATACAGTTAGACAATTTAGAAATATTACCTGAATAAGGCATCAACTGAGCATTATACTGAATATCCATACCCATGCTTGACAATGCAACATCGTCTTTCTTAGGTTCTTGGCTATCACTGAAACTGATAGGAACTTCTGCACTAGATGTGGTAGCTACAATAGAATCAATGAATTCAGTTTGAAATTGAGTTGAATCTGGGTTACTAGCAGTGGCTTTTTTCCTCTTAGAAACTGGTGAAATCTGATTTTCATCATCACTGTTGGCATTTGCAACACAAAATTCAGTCTCTGAAAAAGCCCTTTTCCCATGTAAAGCAGTGCCCCTAACCTGGTTGGACAGTGAGTAAAAGTCTAGACTTTGAATAGAATGATCTAGGACTTCTGAAGGACATGGATCCTTCAATAAAATTCTTGAGCCTCCTCTACCAGCATCATTTGAATGGCTAACTGGAGTAAGAGATATATCATCCAAATCCAAACTCAAAAAATTTATACGAGTCCTAACATTTCTCTTTTCTTTCTTACTTGTATCCCTTACTTCAAATCCAAGTGAAATATTAGAATTTGGAAATGTTTTATCCATGTCGCAATTCTCAGCATATATGGGGACATCACCAAGGGACACTTGCTTTTCAGCATCTTTAATTATACCAAATTGGTGAACAACGATACTCTCATCTAAACTAGATGATCCATCATCAGAACACTTCTTCAGTACACTGGTATGTTGTAGGCAATCTTGACCACCCTGAATCCTAATATCTCCTAAACTTGAAGAGGCAACCATTCCACTGCATGGCAGAGGGATGGTTGTATCTGAATTTTGTCCCAATGTAGTGATCGCAAGACCCATCTTTTCACAATAAGCCCCTGCATCAATGTCATTATTCTCACTGTCATTGACAGTAATTTTCTCTTCTGAACTTGTAAGATTGTTGGAATTGAAGCCGTAAACGCTGTCATCAGCAGAATCATGTGTATTTATAATATCAGCTGAAAGGACATTGGAATTCAATTCATTCCCTACATCTACAAGATTCCTATTCTCTGAACATCCTACATCTATATACTTCCCAGGTGATAGAGATAATTCACTCTGACATAATTGCTTGTTCCCACAATCCAAATGATTGAGTTCAGAAGTACTTCCATTTAATGACTTAGTAGGTTTGTCAATAGGTTTGTCAATATTAGTCACGCTAAGCAAGTCATGGACAGGATTAGACGCGTCTAAACAATCACTATCAGAACCACAATTTTTATCTACACTACTAGAAGCACAAGATGGAGCACTTGAAATACTTCCACTTCTTTCAAACCTGGATTCTTTCCCAATATCAGAATCTTCATTGATCTTACATTGTTGTGATCTGCATTCTGGCCCCGGACTAAGCAGGGACAAACCCCGATTTTCATCTTCACACAATACATTCTTTTCATTGTCTGGCACAGACACCTTATCAACAGCATTGATTTTCTCCTCCAAACAAGACATCTTATCAACAGCATTGATTTTCTCCTCCAAACATTCAGTTTTGACATTTTCAGAGGCAGCAATGGACGAGCTGTGTGTTACACTACCTGCTTGCACAGTTCCACCAATTGCTTTGGCGAGAGAAGGTGAAGCCAGAACGCTTGAACTAGTAGGATTTCCAGAACCTTTCTTCACCACTCTTTTAACAATTTTCTTCTTCTTGACAACCTTAGAGGCCAATTTCCGATTACAAGTGCCACTAGCTTTAACAGAAACTGCCACCCCATGCTTGTCACGAGGATTACAAGCACCACCTACATTCTTCTGCGAATAATTATTATTATCATTCAAAATTTCAACAACAGAAGACAGTTTACCAGAAACAGGAGCAGCAGTGGCACCAGAAGTGGAAGGTGGGGGTGTGACAATAGCCTTTGCCACAAGAGAGTTTGATTCAAAAGAAATGTCAAGTTCAACCGGGCTTCCTTTTTTCCCATCTTCACCCTTTGTGTAACCTCCATGTTGATCTTTATTGCTACCCCTGAAGAAATTATTGTTAGAATCAGAAGCATAACGTAACTGTTCAATGTCACGGCTGTCACGGTTCCTATGGTTTGGTTTTACCGTCTGGATTCGAAGAAGAGCACTCTTCTTTTGAATCTGTTTCTTAGGTGGAGTGCGACTGAATTCACGTTCGCGACCATGATTATGATTATGATTACACTCTCTACTACTCGATCTACCACTATTGCTACCATTACTATACCTAAGCATATCTGAACCGTGATACTCTCGTTTCACGGAAGTACCAATTTCATCATTCACCAATTCAAAAGAAGGTGAATGTGAAGGAGAAGAATTGTGTACTTTTCTATCACTCAACCACCTCCTGGGGGATACGTCGTTGATTGGATGATAGGCGAGACTCGATGTGGAGGTGGATGTGGCAGTTCCGTGGTGGTGATGGTAGTTATCGTCGTAGACGTAGGCTTCCCTGGGGCTTCCTGCTAGGCGGGAGGTTTCTGAGCTTGACCTCCCGTAAGAGCTCTCAGATTCGTATCGGATAGGTGGATATGAAGGCGGAGGACGGTGGTTGTGGTGGTGATTCGATTCGCGATGGAAATCGACAGGAGGATAATTTCTGGTGGAGCGGTCGTCGGGGTTAGGGTTCCACGGGGAGTCAGGGACGATACGGCGGGGGAGATGGTCGTTACGATTGGTGAATGAGTTTGAGAGAGTGCGTTGTTCTTCGACGGGGCAAAAAGGGAATCGAGGAGGGTTGTAAGATGGCGGGGGAGGTGGAGGAGGAAGGGGATCGATAGTGCGGTAAGAGAGAGACGGGGGAGGTGGAAGAGTGGGTGGTGGAGGGAGATGGTGGTGCGATTGAGAAGGTGGAGGAGCGTATCGTGAACGGTGTTCTTGGTGGTGGTTGTTGTAGTGGTGGAGGAAGTGTTGATCCATGGCGGTTGACGGCGGCGAAATGGTTCTGGGATTGCGTATATGCGGTTTTTGAATTGAAGTTGCGTAACCTAATTTTATTTTATTTGTTTATTTGTATATTATTGTTGGATTGAAATTTGAAATTCAATTATTGGGATGAGTTTGAGTGGGTGGGTGGGTGGGCTTGGGGTAACAGGTTTGATCTCACACGCAACACAACTGTCTTTGTGGTCGTAAGTTAAACAAATCCTGGTTGGGTGAGCTTTCAATGTCATCCATCATCTCTATTTTTTTTATATATTTTTTAAGGTTAAATATGTTTTAGTCGTCAAAATATTTTAGTTTTTTTAATTTTTTTTTTAAAAATTTAAGAATGATTCTCCTAATATATTAGTCCACACTTGATTTCTCTGATTAATGTTTATTGACAGAAAATGTTGTAGCATATCATATGACAATGTCAGCATGGTAAAGATTTTGATGCGTCTTGTTATATGATTAAAGTCAGTATTATATTTGAACTTATAAAATTTCGTAGTTAATCGATAGTTAAAATCGTAATAAATTTTTTGCAAATTTATCATAGGAATTATGGTTTTGAAATAATGCAGTATGTTCATGTTGACACCCACCTATCCATTTATATAGAAATGATTTCATATATTTTCTATAAGATGGAGTTAAATGTTGTTTCGAGAAATTAACTTGACACCCCTCATATTATACATGGCTCCTCTCAAGGGGTATGAAAAGACCAAATTGCCCAGATCCAAATCATTCACCACAGATTTCAAATTCTCGTGAACAATTGGATTTTTCAAATTTTTGGGCGATACCGGAAATTTCGAAGGCGCTACCGGAAGTTTTGCGAAATAGTAAGTGTTTTGGACTGGCCCAACGGCTAGAGTGGGTCCAGTCTGACCTCCTCATTCGGCACAGCCCGTACGATTGTGGCACGGGCTTCCCCTCCCTTAGTAGGACACCATCGATCGTTTGTTCTCTTGGACCAACACTGACCTAAGACGATCGGCGAGCACCTCTCAGTCTGTCTGACCTCAAGTCAGCAAAGCAACCAGGAACTGGCCAGACTGATGCCCGTAATCTACCTCCTCCTTAGAACTAATGGCTAGTTACGAGCACATCTGCCCGGTTTGACCAAGTCTTGGCAGTTACCTATTTTTATCTATTTTTATGGACCCACATATCTAAGCCCAAAAATAGGAACCAATGGTCAAGCGTCATGGGCACTATATAAACCTTCACTCATATGAGGGTCAGGTATCGAATATTGATTATTCATCACTAAAACCCTAATATTTTGTTTGTATCTCTTTTTGCTCTCATACTTACTTGATCGTCAGAGAGCCTTGCAGGTACAACCCTTTTTTCCTCCTCGACTTTCCAGTCCCTCTGAAGATCATCATCCGACCACCGTGCAGGTTTTGATCAACCGGTAAGATCAGTGCCACCGACTATGGGAAATTATCTTCCTCATTTTCTATTCCCAGAATCTGAAGACTAAAGATCCTCTTCATTCATCAATCATGGACGAACACAGTGATCACCACCTATTTGGAAAGATTGTGCTCTCCCAGTCACACAAGATCGACGGAAGCCAAGAACATCCTCACCTCAAGAATAACTCATACGCCTGTGACAAACATATTATATCCCCATATTCCACTGACGCTGATTGTGACAACAATCTATTCTTGGACGAACAGTTTCCCAAGAATCCTGTCGAAGACCAACCGAAGATTCTGCAATCGATCCTCATTCCGCAGAACGTTGACCCCGCCATAGCAGTACTAATCGCTGCCCTTGACCGAACCAACTCCCTCATCCTCCATCAGAGTAAAAGGATAGGGGCGCTTGAGCGGAAATAGTCAAGGTATCCCCCTCGGAGACACTGATGACATAACTCCTCCAGCATATCACCTCCCCGAGAGGGGCGTCCTCCAAGAAAGGAAAGGCTTGACGTTTCTTTCTAGAAGAAGTGTGATCGAGCATCTTCCAAGAAGGATAAAGACTTTATGCTTTCTAAGAAGATGAATAGCACCTGCAAAGACGATTGCGACAGGTCACTATCACCCAGACCGAGGCTACGAGGGCGGAGCCCCTCCCCTCAACGAGATGATGACGCATGATGTAATACGATGGGAGAATTGACTTGGGGGAACAGAAAAGAAAGTAAAATTCTTATGAGGTTCTACATAAATTGAAAGACTTGTAGGAATTTTATGCAGTTATATTCCCTATTTTAGGACACATACCTCACTTCATCCTCCATTGCATCTGCACAAAAACACAATTGTTATCTCAATACACACACAAACAAAGGACAACCCTATAATAAAAGAATAAAGAAAATTGTAAAGCTTGCCAAAGGAAACTCAATGATCATCATGAAAGCAGGCCCTCGTTAACAAGGAGACATCTATCAAGCGCTTCAAATGTCTTTTACCTGCCTCATCCAAGGGGACTACACCTCTGAGATAACCCATGTGATTAAAAAAGTCCAGTAGCTTCTTCTTTTAAAAAGAATCCTCGATAGAAAAATATCCTTCTCCATAGACATATGTGACATTTATCGGGATAAAGTGATTTGTCATCTAATGGTGAGGAAATAAGGGTTTACACTTACCTTCTATTCTCGACTCGATCTCACACATAGTCACATGAGCTCGGGGATAAAGGGGGGTCACAAAAAAAATCGGACAGCAAAGGAAGGCAAATCAGGAAAGCCTTCGAAAATCCTTATCATAGACACCAAAAGGGCCAACTCATGTTCTCTTAGTCAGACTAAAGTACCCTGATTATAGTGAAAGAGATGAAATAACAAGATGCCTGAGGTTTTTTATAATACCCTTATAAGACCAAACAAATAATATAAATAAATAATCAAAGTATTTCACCAAAAGGGTGTCACATGCTTCATAAAACATCATACATGCATGTCCTACTTGTAACACGAGTTTTTAAACAATTATAAAACATTTACTATGCATCAAAATTCATAGTTCAAAACATCTTTATTAAACACATCATCAAAACTTTGTTGTTCATGGTTCATAATTCTAAATAACTTAAGTGCCATGAAAGGTAGTTTAATGTCTCATAATAAAACAAAAGAATGTAAGCTCAAAATCAAACATTCCTGACCCCGATATTATATATCAGAGCAAGACCTTCTAAAATCAACAGAAAGAAAACAACACACTCCAGGCTATCTTCTAAGCTTCTACGAAGTACTCCTGATCACCTGCGCGTTACCCACGTGGAAGCAACATTCAAACAGAAAGGGTGAGTAATCACATTCATTATGAAATATATACGAAATAGACATAGTAGTTCAAACACCAACATCATAGCATCCAAAACAACAACATTGTCAACACATCATAAATTAGCACAACAACATATACAACATCATCTAGTCAACAATTATGCAATGCCACATAAGATATAGTGAAATAACATAGACTCATGAACGTGGTACCAATTCGTTATGAGTACTTGAATCATCACCCTCCAAAGATCCCAATCATAGGATCAATTCCCTCTTGGAACCGGAGCAGAACATCAACACACTCAATCCATACAATGGGATTGAGGCCAACACTAGACCAACGTCCTAAATCAACATGGGCGGACCAAAGTTGTCCAAATTATGCCATGAATGTATAATGTGCAATAACAGAATATCAAACGACTACAACCAGTCAATCATATCATCATTCATGAAATCATCAACAACATTGAATATTTCATACTCACAACATATTACCATCATTGTATTCATAATTCATCATAGCAACCAACACATTAAAATATCAACAATTCATCATAGCAACATACATCATGATAAACTACCTCATTAAGAATCTAAGTCTACTTTAGCCTAGGTTCTATAAATATACACATTTTTACTCATTTTATTCCACCCTCGTGTAGTTCATTGCATTATCTATCCAACGCTTCAAACGACACCTCAAACAGAGTTCTAAAACTCAAGTTATGGCCCTTTAAAAATTCTATTGTTGTCCATTGCCTGGTGCTCGCTCGGTGAAGCAGTCTGCTCACCAGAGGCTCTCTCGGTGACGTGGGAGCGACAACACCATCATTCTCCTCTGGTGTTTATCGCTCGATGAAGCTTCTTGTTCTCCTAGCGACAGACCTCTCGCTCTTGCATCTCCCGACGATGGTGCGAGTGAGATAGTCCAGTAGCATAACTTTTCTACCTATTTCATCACTCAGTTGCTAGCCCGATGAAGACCAAGTGTTGTACCCTCGCTCAGTGAAGCCTCCCTTCTCCCGACGATGCACACCAGTCTGCAATTCCCTTTTGCGGTTTTGTACCTGTTCTATCACAAATTCTCTTGTGATTCCATACCAATACAGTCTAGATTTTCATAGCTATCAACATAGAATCATCATACAACAACCACACAATATTATAGGCATTATATACACAAACTCATGGAAAAATTAACATGGTATTTTCCTCAATTTGAACATAATTTTATCATAATACAACATATCATTAAATTATCAAAACCCCAACAAATCCTTATATACCTTTAAATCCCATATCAATTATAATGACAGATCGCCCCCTTACCTTAGATTCCTAGCTTGGGTATCTTCTCTTCGCGATCTACCGAAATTCCTTTGTGTTCTTTGTGCCATAACTTTCTCTTCTGTTCTTTCTAATGTTTTCACGATCGTATCAAATGAAATGTTTTCTCTTATCCCTCGTTTAACCTTTAGATCCCTGATATGTTTTGCCCAACTCGTCCTCACCCAGCCTTTCATAAATTACCATCTTGCCCTTATCTTCTCTGCATCAATTATTCCTCTATTTTATTATTAATAATAATTCTAAATAATTATTAATTAATCATCTAAATTACTAGAATACTCATTACTCATCTAAATTCCCATTATTCCATAACATATCGACACATCACATATCATACTCATCAAAACATCATATATTCATCAATAATTGATAAATACTC